TGAGGCATAATTATTTTTAATACAACCTAAAATTATTATTGTATAGTGTTTTATTATGACTTTATAATGTGTAGTTAGAATATGCATCTACTTTTATCTTTATTTCACTATTGACTCAAGTCTTTTTTTTTTTTTTGTTTTTTTTTGGTCGTGGGGCTTGAACTCTGGACTGAGGCACTGTCTCTGAGCTCCTCAGCTCAAGGTGAGCACTCTATCACTTGAACCACAATGCCACTTCTGGTTTTCTGGTAGTTAATTAAGAGAAAAGAGACTCATTGACTTTCTTGCCATGGTTGGCTTTAAACTGTGACCTCAGATCTCTGAGTAGCTAGGATTACAGGAGTGAGCCACCAGGACCTGACTTGACTGAATTCTTTGATAATAAAATCTGGGACATGTAATACACACACACAAACACACACACACACACACTTGCATACTTTCACACTCACACACATACTTGCACACTCACACAAACATACTGAAATCTTCACTTGGTAGATTTAAACAGACATTTTGTCAAAGCATCATAGTTGAAAGTGTGTTCTGAAAGTACCTTCTTCTCACCTGCAGTGTCTCTTGATTTTTTTCATTCTCCTAACAGTTTTCCACAAAAAAATAAGACTTTTGAGCCCATTTACCATTTTTTCCTTTGTAGATCATGCTTTTGTGGCTATGTAAAAATCATTTTTCCTGTTCATAGATAATTTTTCTATATTTTCTAGTAAAAGTTTATAGTTTTGCATTGCATGTTCTGAGATCCATGATCCCAATATTACGAACAATTTATGATATTTACCTTCATTATCAATTTTTCACAAATTTGTGGACTCCTTTTTGCACTCCTACCCAACAGGTCAATGCTAGTTTAGTGGAGATCAAGTCAGTATTAGGTACTGCATTATAGATTTCAAAATTCTGCCATTAAAAACTCTGACTCAAAACTAGCAGGACAGATTTCCCATGTTCCAATCTAGTTTCTTATTGTTACACCAGTTTTTTTTTGAACTGTTCTAGAATATCCTTTTCCATTTTTCACTTTATGTCTTTTCGCAGGCACATATTCACAAGGTATCTATTGTAAAAGTAGAATGGTATTTGTCATTTGGTTGTATTGTTTACTCCATTTGCTCCCACTAATGCACTTCATATATTTGAATTAAATTCTATCTTTTTACTATTCATTTCCCATTGTCCCTTCTGGTCTTTATCTCCCTTTCCCCCCTCGGGCTTTCTTTTGATTAATCTGTCTTGTCATTGCTTTTTCATCTCTATTTTATTGTTGATAATATTGTAATTTGTTATTCTGGTATATCTTATTCCCAGAGCTTGCAGGAAGAATAACTCCTAGCATCCATTGCAAGTTACTGAAAATTAGAAGAACTTTACAAAAATTTTGGGTTTTTTTCACTGCTCATTTTTTACATGTGTCATCATTTATATAATTCCATACTTATCGAAAACCTGAAAGAGATTAATTTTATTAAGCAGTTATTGTATCACACTTTGATTGTTTCCTCATAATTTTAGATACATGCTTCCATTTTTCCCTCAGACTAGAGATCTTAATGGTCTGTGAACCATGACTCTTTCCATATCAACTTCTTCCATATTTTCTTTCTCTAAAATATCTTTTGAGGGTCATAGTAAATGGATGTACAACCAAATTTGGCAGATGTATCTCCTCAGGTGTAAATGATATGCCATTATCTTTCCACTTGTTCTATTTTATGTTGAAAAGTCAGATATCAAATAAAAAATTGTACCTAATATTTGCTGTGTGAATGCTGACAAAGTGTCCAGTGTGGTTTTCGTGTTTTATAAGTTGTTGGCTTATGATTTTTGTTAAATTTACCTTACTTGCTAGTTTTGAAATTGTGAGTTCATTTTTTGTTTTGTTTTGTTTTGTCAATAGTAGAAAAATATTTGAAGCCTTTCCTTGACTCTTTTTGTCGACATCTCTTCTCTCTTTCTGGGACTCCAATTGTACTTATGTTAGAATTCTTCAGGATAAGCTTTTTTTTTCTTATGCATTTTCTCATTTTTGTTTTCTGTAATGGTTTTCTTTCAGATTTCTAAACAATTGATTATTGGGAGAGGGGAGATGGAAAGGGATGGGAAGGGAAAACAAAGGAGGAGGCAACAATGCTTGATAAGAAATGTACTCATTACCTTGCCCATGTAATTGTAACCCCTCTGTATGGTATTTTCACAATAAAAATTTTGTGACTTATTTTTACACATTCTAGTCTTCCAAAAAATATGATATATCATTGGTTTTTTAGTGTATTGATATCTCCAAACACTGGAACAATCTATGCTTTGCTTGTCACTTAATTTTTGATATATATTTTTTCTTTACTGCTTGAAAAAATGAATATGGAAAATGTCTCTAAAATGCACTGTGATGTGATAAATTATATAGGATTCTAAATATTCACATACAGTGAGACCAAATAAAGATACTCTTAGGAGAGGAGCACAAAGGTACAATGCCTAAGTGCCTCTTCATATTTACTTAAATTATATATATATATATGTATATACCTATATATATATATGTACTTAAATGAACTCTAAGATATGGAAACAAAAAACTTCTTTTCTCTTCCCTTCCTTTTTTCCTTCCTTCCTTCCTTCCTTCCTTCCTTTCTTCTTTCCTTCCTTCTTTCCCTCCCTCCCTCCCTCCTCCTCTTTTCTCTTTCTTTCTTTCTTTCTTTCCTTCTTTCTTTCTCTTTTAGTTTTTAGGTTTTGGTGATTTTTGTCTTCTTTACCTTATATATGGTGTATTCCAGTGTACATCTTCAGAAGGGCTGGGGAGAGGGTACACTACTTGAGGCACAAAGGGTGAAAATGTGCAGCGGTGGACCTCACTGGATACTCAGGAAAATGAACAATTTGTGGATGGAGATGGGAGGGTGGGACTGGGAGAGAGTAAAGGAAAGGAAGACAGTGTGCAAAAGGAAATATACTCATTATTTAACTCATGTAATGATAATCCCTCTGTACATCACCTCTGTAATAACAAGTAAAGTAAAATAATAAACACATGTGTATAGGAAATGCAGAAGCTGTTTTGCTCTTCTAGAGAAGAGGATTAATTTTCTTCTGGGCTTTAACCTGGATTTGGAAATAGTCTTCTTATTCCTCAGAGTGAGCATTCAGAAGCAGCGCTGGTGCTCTTTCCTTTCCTTTGAAGGTGCATTTTTTAACCGTTTTGGGTAGAAGTCAGGAGATCTGCCCAAGCTTTTTATCCAGAATATAAATTCCATATTTTTGCATCCTCACTAAATTCATGGGCCAGCAGCTTTCCTTAGAATCCCATCCTCTTTGTACCCACATTCTGTTCTGAAACTCAAGACCTTATGTAGTTTAGGCTGAGACAAATGACCTGCTGAACAAAGGCTGCTTAAAATATCTGCCTTGGTTCCTTTATATTTTTCTTTCCCTTGGGCATCTTACCTCAAAAAACCTTTCCTTTCTTTACTGTGTTCAGACTTCAAAGATCTTTTTGTTGTTATTTTATGTATCTTTCATCGTTGTGCTTGGAGGAAGGGTCAGCCTGGTGTAAACCACCTGTCATGGGCCAAACCTGTCTTTACTTTGCAATCCGTAGGTTTATGAGTTGCTTTTCCACAAGATACTCTTGTGAATTACTTTCACACAATTTATAAAGGCACATAAGAAATTCAATAATCCAGGTTAAAATTCTTGAGTAAAGGAACAGAAATTGTGCGTAGAATCGTGAATATTTCAACAATAAAAAAAGAGAGCCAAAGTGAACAAGGAATTTGATGGATTCATCTATAAGTTTAAAATGAAGTACTGAGCTCAATAGGAAATGTACTCATTACCCTACTCATGTTACTGTAATCCCTCTGTACAGTATCTTTACAATAAAAAGGATATGAAATCAAATATTAAAAATTATTTTAATTTTTTAATTTATTGTGAGAATACCATACAGTTACATGGGCAAGATAACAAGTACATTTCTTACCAAGCATTGTTGCCTCCTCTTTGTTTCCCCTTCCCATCCCTTCCCATACTCCCACCCGCCCCCCAGTCAATATTCCCCCACCCCCACCAAAGTTATAAAGTTCATTTTTCAACATAATGACTTGTACATCTCATTGTTGCAATGGGTCCACCTGTATCCCTAGTTAAACGATTTGTTTATTCCCTTTCCCTCCATAAATTATACCAACAACAAATACAGGTTATACCGTGGGGGAGGGACATACAAAGCAACATAGAAAGTGTCTTATAAATATGTTAGAAACAATTGCATGAAAGGAAAAAAACAAAACATTTGCATACAAAATAAAATAAAGTATTGAAGTTGGGCAAGGTGGATCACACCTATAATTCCAGGCTTTGGGAGGCTGAGGTAGGAAGATTACAAGTTTGAGGCCAGTCTGTGCTATAGTATAAGATTGTGTGTGTGTGTGTGTGTGTGTGTGTGTGTGCAAGACACAGACAGTTTACATTTAGAAAAAGACAATAATATTCTGAACGTGCTGCTGAGACAACCACTGTGCTTGCACGCAAAATATATTCAGCTTGACTTATGAAAGAATGAGTTTCAGGATAATGAATGAGTTGATATCCAGCATATTTTAAGCTATCGTGCTAAATCTTTTATGTATAAGAGATCATTGATGTGTGCATGTTTATAGAAATAAGCTTTCAAGGAATAGATTTAAAAAAAGAGAGAAATTGCATCTTCTTATATTATTGAATTCCAAGTGTCTAAAGTCAAGGTAATGAATGGGAAAGCCTCATCCCAGCAAAAACACTACCTTGATGAGCTCAAAATCTTTAGAATTTTTATATCATTATTCTCTGATTATGTTATGTTAGCACTCATTGTTTTCCTAATTTACTTTATTGTTGTTTTAGAGGTGGCATAGTGGGGTTACCTTTACCTATGTCAGGTAATCAGTGCATTTCCTTTCACATAGTGTCATCTGTTCCCTCAGTCTCTCCCATTCCCTTACTTCCATCTCCACCCACAAGTTAGTTGCATAGTTCACCTTCATCAGTGTCCAGTGCAGCCAGTGTGCTTCCCTGCTGCATTTTTCACCCTTTTTCCTCTGGTTCTGTGCCCTTCCCCCACACTCCCGTAGATCCACACCATCTAATATTGCCTCTTCCCCAGATCTCACAATTATGATTTTGATAGGCATCGCTCTTATTGATGAGTTCTCATGTACCTTAGTTATCTTCTGCTTTTCTTGCAAAATCCAGAAATTCTTAGCTTGGTTATTTGAACCCACACAGGTGAATGAAAATACAATTCTACAGCTATGTGTGCAAATTCTTTTGCTAAAAACAAGGATTGGTTTTCTCCTGCTTTACTATTCTTTTGTTCCACCACACTATAACTGTCTGCCCAATATAGATTTCAATTCTACATCTCCAATCAGGGCAAAATTGAGAAGAAAATACAGATGACATACATAACATGATTTGAATACTTTCAATGTATATTTAAATAGGCAGCATCTTTAGCAACATTGATTGACAACAAGACTGAATGTAAGGATAGTAAGATGCTAGATCATGGAAATATTGTTTGAAGTTTCTCTTGGCAGCTTCCTTCTAGTCAAGGAATTTGTCTTACTGACTCAAGTTTAGCATTACTGTGGAACTCTATGATACAGACTCAAGAAAGGGAAAAAAGGAGACAGCACACAAGGATTCTTAATGCTGTTGGGAGCTATGCTCATTCTGGAAGACGTCTTATTGTTAACTTTCTTGTTCAGATGGGTAAAACGTAGTCATAATCTTCAAGTAAGTTTCCAGAGATAATGTGGCCATTTAAGGTTGGACTTAAATGACGTATTGTTCAGAATTGAGAATAAACAGTTAATCAAATAGATCCATATATGCCATGTTTTATTCTCTAGGTATGAAAAGAGGTGGAACTTTATAGAGACTTGTAAAATACTAGCAATGAATAGGGTTAATATTCACTGTATGTTAGAAATACTTTCAATGACTCTTCTGCTCTGATTTACTTAGCAAAGAAAATCTATGAATTCAACATTTTCAAAAAGTCACAGAAAGGCTAAGTGTGGTGGCACACACGTGTAATTCTGGCACTTGGAGAGCTGAAGCAAGAAGATTTTGAGTTCAGATACATCCTGTGACACATAGGCCATGCCTCAAAAAAAAAGAGAAAGAAATGAAGAGAGAGAGAGAGAGGAAGGAAGGAAGGAAGAAAGGAAGGAAAGAAAGAAGGAAGGTCACAAAAAAGTCTAGAATACGCATCATACAACAACAACTGTCAAAAAGGAATACAAAGACCTTTCTGAGTTCCTGTCCAGCCAGTATATGACACTGCCCTAGGAGAATATGCAGCTGACAAGTATGGTCAAATAATTGGTAGGAAGAAGTCAACTCACATTTTATTTAACTTTACTTGTGACGAAACGACAGGGTCAACTGGGGGAAAAATGTTTAAATCAAATTTTCTTCTTTTTTTGAACTCCCTTGAAGTGTAAATAATTTGTCAACACTATTTTGTGACTTTAGTCATATAAACATGTTTTACTTATATACAATAAAACTTTCACTGTATTTGATGTTGGTATAATTTGTGGAGGGGAAGGGAAAAAAACAAATCGTTGAACTAAGGATACAGGTGGACCCATTGCAACAATGAGATGTACAAGTCGTTATGTCAGAAAACAAACTTTACAACTTTGTTGGGGGGTGGGGGCAGGATCGGGTGGGGGGAGGGAGGGAGTATGGGAAGGGATGAGAAGGGGAAACAGAGGAGGCAACAATGCTTGATAAGAAATGTACTCATTATCTTGCCCATGTAATTGTAACTCCTCTGAACGGTATTTTCACAATAAAAAGTAAAAATAAAAAATAAAAAAATAGAGGGGACATTCTAATTTTTAATGATTTAGGAAAAGGAATTGGTTTCTCAATTTTTCACTAAACAAATATAAAAATATCAGTTCTTTATTGAAGATAAATATAAAAGCAAAGCAAGCAAATATCAATGATAAAAACACAACTTTGTAAGATAATTTAATATATGCTATATGAAGTTTTAAAAGCTTATTTATTTACGTGATGTATTGATGGTTCTTACACCAAAATTCTTTCTTACTGTAATCCAGAAAACTGGGACATGAAAATTGGAGGAGTTGCCTGATTAAATATCTTATTTTCTAGCACTCTTTGTTTGTTCTTTTAGTAACCTATTGTTAGTTCCTGAGGGTGATAGAAGGATTTTCTGAACGAACACACAGTAACTGATAAAAGCCTATTGGCAAGCTTTATTGAATCCATTGCTCCTGGCTTCTGACATTTGTCTTATAAAAAGTAACTGGAAAAAACTTGAAGCAAATTCTAGGGAGATTTAGTACACTCGCAACTCTTTTACCTCAGAAGCAAGTGGAAAGACTTTACAAAGAGATGACAGAGAATGTTAGCCTAATCTCTGGCTCCCCTACAGGAGAGGAATCCTGGGTACTGTGAGTAAGGACTGAGGCTATGGGATATTTACTGTGTACTACAACTGTTTGTTAAGTCTGATTAGCCAGTTTGTCATTTTCTTTTTTTTTTGTTGTTGTTGTTTTTATGAACCTGTATGTGTGTGGGGTTTTTTTGGTACATTTTTTTATTGTAAAAAATGCTGTACAGAGGGGTTACAGTTACATGAGCAAGGTAATGAGTCTATTTCCTATTGAGCATTGTTGCCTCCTCCTTTGTTTTCCCCCTACCATCCCTTCCCTCCCACTTCCACAACTAAACCCCCCCTCATCCGATAAAATTGTAAAGTTCGTTTTCAACATAATGTTTTGTATATCTCATTGTCTCATTGTTACAATGGGTCAACCTGTATCCTTATTTAAGCATTTTGTTTTTGCCCTTCCCCTCCTTGAATTAGAGAAGTGTATATACAAGATGTATGGCACTGACATCAAATACAGTGAAAATAGGGGTTATAGTGTGGGGGAGGAACATAGGAAGAAACAAAAACATCGCATGGTACATTAAAAATACATTGGAAACAATATTAAGAAAGAAAAAAAGATATTTGTGTCCCTATCTTGGGGTTCATTTCACTTAACATCATCTTATATAGTCATATGCACATAGCTTTTTGGCCATTTCTGCTTGTCCTACACATGTACTAGTTATTGCAAATAAGGGAAACCATGGGACCTATGTTTCCTTGGGCCTGGCTTACTTCACTTAAAATAATTTTTTCCAAGTCTTTCCATTTCCTAACAAATGAGGCAATGTCATTCTTTCTGATGGAGGCATAGAATTCCATTGTGTATATATACCACATTTTCTTGATCCATTCATCTACTGAGGGGCATCTGGGTTAGTTCCATATCTTAGCTATGGTAAATAATGCTGCAATAAACATAGTTGTGCTGGTAGCCTTAGTATAGCCTTTTTTTGTGATCATAAACAGCCATCTCCCTCTTTTGTGATACTGAAAGCAGTTTGCCATTTTCTAAAATGTATAAGCTGGCAAAACTAGAGAGAGATTGGAGCTAAATCATGGCCCTTGGACTTTAAGGTAATGCCAGAACATCAAGCTCAGCGATCGCCTTATAGTAGGGCATAAGGGAATATTTGGAGCCAATGGTGTAATGTTTGTTATTGTTTGCAGCACCACTTGCAGATACCAAGGTGACCCCCATTTTATGAGACTGTAAACCGTAAGTGTCTCTGTCTCTCAAAGGGCCACCTGGAGTCATTGGCAATGGAACTCCAGTAGAGTATTCCAGGCTATAAAAACATCCTGCTCTATCAGACACCTCCAGTCAGCCAACCAATCTGATTTATATCGATTCTTGGGAGAGTAATAGAAGTGATCAGATATGAAACACTCTCTTAAAAAGTTCAAAGTTACAAAATATAAAGCTCCACATAGATGTATTACAATTTCTCTCATTCACAATCAGTCTTGGAAATAAAAATTAAGTAAGCTGTTAAACCAAATATTGGAAGCTGAGTAAAGAGGCTGATGAACGCAAAGGATATTGACACAACAGTAGATGATACTGTCATTTTTGTAAGCATTCACATTTAGCAAAAGTGCCGTGTCCATTTTACCATTAGTGATTTTCAACTGCTCTACTCTGTATCCGATTTTACGCCTGCTTTAGTGTATTACAGTACCCATATTGGTGTGGGGAGGTCAGACATAAAGGTGAATTTTAAGCAAATCATCTGTATTGCTTCTGTGAAAGTTATCTTTTGGTAATTGTCAGAAGACAATTTACCATATCATTCCTGGAATTAGCCTCTTTGTTTGATATTTTTCTTAAGAACTGTAACAGAAACCAGCCATTATTGACTGGTGTTGAGCCTGTTGCTTTTATTTATGATTTAAACTTTGATATGAAAATCACTTGTTTTTATTTAACTAGGCAACAGCATAAACAAATTCACATAGAAGGCATTAGGATAGATGTAAGGTAGACATAAGATAGATCATAAGAACTTATCCAAGGGAGAAGCAAAAGCATTCATTTTGGACAACTACTTGTTTACCTTAACAATAGGATATCAATAGTTTCTGACCTTAATTTCCATACTTCTTGAAGTTTCCTTTCTCCACGATTATATTTAATTATATTCAACTAGTTGTACTATATTCCAGTTGTATTATAGTTTGCTATGCATGAGAATGCTATGAGTAAGAGAAATATGTAGAAAATTTAAGATTTAATTTTAACCCATTTATACCAGCCAATTTCCGGCAAAATTTCTGCAGAAAGCAAGGGAAGGTGTCATTGAAAGATTGTACATCTGTGCTTAATTCTCATTCAGTGATGTGCATTAATAATTAGTAAGACACATATTCAAATCTAAATACCAATCATACTTTTATGCTAAGGAATGTTTTAAAAACTAGTATTTTAACAGGTTTTTAAATAAGTTTTTTTATTGTAAATATACTGTATAGAGGGGTTACAGTTACATGAGCAAGGTAATGTGTACATTTCCCATCAAGCATTGTTGCCTCCTCCTTTGTTTTTCCCCTACCATCCCTTCCCTCCACCTCCACAACTACCCCCTCACTCCCCCATCCCCCGCCTAAATTGTAACATTTGTTTTTGAGCATAGTGTCTTGTACATCTCATTGTTACAATGGGACAGCCTATATCCTTATTTAAACATTTTCATTTTTCCCTTCCCCTTC